TATTTTTCGATACAATTTTCTCAATGTTTCTTACATTTTTCTTCACTGTTGATGGTAACTGAAAAATCAATTCTTCAAAATTCATTTTTATTTCTAGTCTGCCGCGACACTTGAGCGCGTTTCGTAAAACTTATTACATTTTCAAAGACTTTAGTTTACACACACACAACTATAACTTAACAGAGCTTAAAGATCTTTGATTTTTTATACCCGCATTTGGGTGAGGTGATATGTTACAACAGTTTTGGATGAGGTGAAAACAAACTTTCAACAAAAGACAGAACATGAAACAATTGGTATAATATTTTGTAAGTTAAAGGGAAGAATGGAAGTAACTGCAAAGGGCATATTGGCCCATATTTCTTGATGCTTCTATATTGGTGCGGAGTCTTGAAGTGGGTAGAATATAGTTGTGCATTAATTGGCTGTTGATTGCTGGTGTCGACTTCTTAATGTGTAGTGCCTCGCAGATATCTAGCCGCCTGCTATCGCGGCTTAAGTTTTACGAAACGCGCTCAAGTGTTGCGTCAGACTAGAAATAAAAATGACTTTTGGAGAATTGATTTTTCAGTTACCGTCAACAGTGAAGAAAAATGTAAGAAACATTGAGAAAATTCGTGTTAGAATTAATAATCTCACTTTTTCGGTCATATTTAATAATATATATATATATATATATATATATATATATATATATATATATATATATATATATATATATATATATATATATGAATGAAAACTCACACCCCAGAAGTGACTCGAACCCATACTCCCAGAAGCAACGCAACTGGTAACTACAGGGCGCCTTAATCCGCTTGACCATCACGGCCGTCAAAAGGAAGTGATAGCCGAGGCTATTTGAGCCACTTCCCCGACGGCAACTCGGATGGTAATCTTGGGCATAGCATTTCACCAAATCACCTCATTCTTTGGGGCACACGTGAGGAACACAAATGCGAACAAGCCTGAATGGTCCCCAGGACTATATGCGAATGAAAACTCACACCCCAGAAGTGACTCGAACCCATACTCCCAGAAGCAACGCAACTGGTAACTACAGGGCGCCTTAATCCGCTTGACCATCACGGCCGTCAAAAGGAAGTGATAGCCGAGGCTATTTGAGCCACTTCCCCGACGGCAACTCGGATGGTAATCTTGGGCATAGCATTTCACCAAATCACCTCATTCTTTGGGGCACACGTGAGGAACACAAATGCGAACAAGCCTGAATGGTCCCCAGGACTATATGCGAATGAAAACTCACACCCCAGAAGTGACTCGAACCCATACTCCCAGAAGCAACGCAACTGGTAACTACAGGGCGCCTTAATCCGCTTGACCATCACGGCCGTCAAAAGGAAGTGATAGCCGAGGCTATTTGAGCCACTTCCCCGACGGCAACTCGGATGGTAATCTTGGGCACAGCATTTCACCAAATCACCTCATTCTTTGGGGCACACGTGAGGAACACAAATGCGAACAAGCCTGAATGGTCCCCAGGACTATATGCGAATGAAAACTCACACCCCAGAAGTGACTCGAACCCATACTCCCAGAAGCAACGCAACTGGTAACTACAGGGCGCCTTAATCCGCTTGACCATCACGGCCGTCAAAAGGAAGTGATAGCCGAGGCTATTTGAGCCACTTCCCCGACGGCAACTCGGATGGTAATCTTGGGCATAGCATTTCACCAAATCACCTCATTCTTTGGGGCACACGTGAGGAACACAAATGCGAACAAGCCTGAATGGTCCCCAGGACTATATGCGAATGAAAACTCACACCCCAGAAGTGACTCGAACCCATACTCCCAGAAGCAACGCAACTGGTAACTACAGGGCGCCTTAATCCGCTTGACCATCACGGCCATCAAAAGGAAGTGATAGCCGAGGCTATTTGAGCCACTTCCCCGACGGCAACTCGGATGGTAATCTTGGGCATAGCATTTCACCAAATCACCTCATTCTTTGGGGCACACGTGAGGAACACAAATGCGAACAAGCCTGAATGGTCCCCAGGACTATATGCGAATGAAAACTCACACCCCAGAAGTGACTCGAACCCATACTCCCAGAAGCAACGCAACTGGTAACTACAGGGCGCCTTAATCCGCTTGACCATCACGGCCGTCAAAAGGAAGTGATAGCCGAGGCTATTTGACGGCCGTGATGGTCAAGCGGATTAAGGCGCCCTGTAGTTACCAGTTGCGTTGCTCCTGGGAGTATGGGTTCGAGTCACTTCTGGGGTGTGAGTTTTCATTCGCATATAGTCCTGGGGACCATTCAGGCTTGTTCGCATTTGTGTTCCTCACGTGTGCCCCAAAGAATGAGGTGATTTGGTGAAATGCTATGCCCAAGATTACCATCCGAGTTGCCGTCGGGGAAGTGGCTCAAATAGCCTCGGCTATCACTTCCTTTTGACGGCCGTGATGGTCAAGTGGATTAAGGCGCCCTGTAGTTACCAGTTGCGTTGCTCCTGGGAGTATGGGTTCGAGTCACTTCTGGGGTGTGAGTTTTCATTCGCATATAGTCCTGGGGACCATTCAGGCTTGTTCGCATTAGTGTTCCTCACGTGTGCCCCAAAGAATGAGGTGATTTGGTGAAATGCTATGCCCAAGATTACCATCCGAGTTGCCGTCGGGGAAGTGGCTCAAATAGCCTCGGCTATCACTTCCTTTTGATGGCCGTGATGGTCAAGTGGATTAAGGCACCCTGTAGTTACCAGTTGCGTTGCTCCTGGGAGTATGGGTTCGAGTCACTTCTGGGGTGTGAGTTTTCATTCATATGTATATATATATATATATATATATATATATATATATATATATATATATATATATATATATATATATATATATATATATATATATATATATATATATATATATATATATATATATATATATATATATATATATATATATATGCTCTTTAATGGTGTCAATGGTCTACCTGGTGCTTCATATTCCCCCCAAAACGATCCACTTTAACATTGAAGTTTATAATTTCTGATGGGTTCACAAACGAAGAATACTGATAGAAGGGTGCTCATTCATCTCCCCTTGCCGAGAAAGTAGGTAATTTTACTTGACAAAAAATCACTGAACAAGGAGGTATACCAGGAGTGATACCAAGCAAAGCAAGGGGACACTAGATTATATAAACACATAAAAGCTCTTGTAGACTAATAGATTACATATCAAATATGGATCTCTCCACAAACTTCCCCAATACAACTGTGCTTCGCACCCTCAGTTGGAACATTGCATCACTCAGGAAAAGAATTCCTGATCTCCACCACAAAGTGACGACCAAGCCCATTAATGTCATCTGTCTTGAGTGCAGAGTTCCCACCAAGTCTCCACCCCTTAAATTATACTTTTCTGTTGCATATTACCTTAAATGAAGTCACTCATTTATTTGCATGTTGAGAAGTCCCTTCCTCACTAGCCACATCCTTTCCCAAATTATTTACACTGGTGGCTCCTTGCAACAGTCCTATGTGCAGCTGGAAGTGCAGTTGTTGTGACAGCGAGAGATTGTTCATTCTCCTATGAGTGTGGAGCGCATATAAATAACTGGGCCTCCACTCTTCAAACATAATCCATAATCCATAATCCAATGCCATAATCCTTGCAATCGAGCGCGTATATGAGTCCAAAGTTGACACGCTAATTGTAAGTTACTCCTTGTCATCCTTGACTGCCCTCAGCTCCCCAAGGTGTAACCGTGATGTATTTGTGTCTGAAGCTAAACACAGATGTAATGAAATAATGATGCGTCAGAGTTTGTCTCCTGTGGATTCCTTTCCATGCTGGTCTCCGAATGCATGATAGAACAGATGAGTTAGCCAAAACTTTTGCTCGTAAAAAGAGAATTGATTACCATCCAGGACTGCCTTTGAACAGTCTGAGGGAAGTAATATTCCGGGTACATCAAAAAAATCTCGTAGACTTGATGCAAAGTAAAATTCACCCCAGTTGCTCCATCTATCATCATTCTATTATGCAAGAAGAACTGCACGTCAATGGGTCATCCAATAAGCTTAGCAGACTTCTAGATGTTACCACTGCTAGGCTTAGGCTCGGCGACAAGTACCTCTGGGAGTTTGCAACAACTGCTGATGTACTTACATTTGACTAACTGTAAACTCTATCAGCAGAACTATTCACTTACTTTGCGTCATTATATAATGGAATGTGAAAAAATCGCGGAATTCGAAGATAACACCATCAACGGAGTCCAAGAATGTGTAAGTAATTCATTCATAATTGTGTACTGCCAGGAATCATAGCTAAGTATCCAAAATTTTCTTACTGTAGGTTACAGCCTGCACATGACTGTAAAGCTGCCGCCCAGTTGGGTGGGTGTGGAGCACATGACTGTAAAGCTGCCGCCCAGTTGGGTGGGTGTGGAGCACATGACTGTAAAGCTGCCGCCCAGTTGGGTGGGTGTGGAGCAAGACTAGTAATTGTGTGACTCACCATAGATGTAAAGTGCCTTGTATAGTGACTGTTGTGAGCTTTTTGTTGAATCACTTGTGATATAAAAAGATTATTGATATGTATATGTATATGTGTACATGAATGTACATATATGTACATGTGTATGTAACAATAACAATTGTGTAACTAGCATCAAAAGATTGTCACTTGCTTAGCTAAACGAACTATGGGGTTCAGTTCCTGTACCTATTATGCCCCTCTGTAAACCTTTCTACCACCGCCAACGGGGTGAGTATGGGGTGCATAATAATGAAAGATATATAAATAATATAAGGTCACCAGACATATGTACTGAGAAATAGAGATAAATACTGTCACACCGAGTCAGTCGTTCGTGGCTCCAATTACCAACAACACACAATGTTATAAACAAAACTGTTTATATTTCCTCAAACTAAATTACACATGATCACTATCTACATACAATACATGAATATAAAATAATATGTCAAAAGGTGAGAATATGATACTGTGAATATGGGTGCACATACCAGTTGACGCGCAGCTCCTGAGATATTCTGAGTCGTGTCTGTCTTCAGCCCCGGATATATTATGACGCCTGCCTTCAGCTACATCAGTGCGCATGCGTCAACGGCACACCCTGAACGGTAATAATTCAACATAAAATAACTTTTAATAAACGTTTTTATCGTTTTATCGCAATATTATATGATTTGTATCCTAATTATTGGAATAGAATGCCGGCAACATAAAAGTAGCTGCAACATTGTTCGAACACAAAACAGGAAATATGATCAAATATAGTGTCGTCAGGGGTAGTGATATTAAAACTTCCTCAGGTTGCGACTTTACACACAGAGATCATAAAACAACTTTTTAAAACATATGCATATATTTTGAGGGAATTAAATCATATTCATTGTTTTAAAATAAAACAACTGACAGCATATGGTGAACAAAATGCATGATTTAATGATTTGCTATTGTGAGCCATCCACGGAAATGACGTCTGTGAGCGAGGCAGCCGAGGCAACACTTATCACTTGGCTGGAGATAAGGACCACTCGGTACACCCAACCGTCACACACATTCAACACTGTTCCCTCAACTCACTTGACACCTCTCTAACACTGCTCCCTCAACTCATTTGATGAGTAGTCTTCAACACAGCCCCACCCAGTAAACAATTTTAGATTGCCACAATGTACCTGGAAAGTGTTTGAACACAATGGCAACGTTTCTTTTCATGTAATAGCTACATCATTGTGTGTGGTCGTAAATTAGTTGTCACACCTTACAGCACAACGTTGGTTAAACAAAATGTGAGACTTTGTGGTAACCTTAAATGTTGCATTAAAGTCGTTTTTGAAATTGATGGTATATATAAAAAATGTAGAAATATATATATAAAATATATTTCTACATTTTGTAGAAATAAAGCAGGATGTGCATAATAAAGGTGGATTTGACTTTTTGTTTCATTATTTTCACTTAATGGAGAATCCATGGTAGTGGTGGTTGTTGCTGAGTTGTGGTTGGTGATGGAATTGATTGTTGGTGGTTGTGGTTGTTGTTGGTGGTGGTTTTTACTGGGGGGTAGTGGTAGTGGTTGTTGGTACAGTGGTTGTTGGTATAGTGGTTGTTATTGGTGGTTGTGGTTATTTGTGAAAGTTGTTGTTGGTAGTGATTGTTGGTGGTAGTTGTTGTTGGTTGTGATTGTTTGTGGTAGCGGTTTTGTTGGTGGCAGTGGTTGTTGGTGGTAGTGGTTGATAGTTGTGGTTGTTGGGGGTAGTAGTTGTTGGTGGTGGTAGTGGTTGTTGGGCGAATTGTTGCTGTTAGTAGTGATTGTTGGTGGTAGTTGTTGGTGATGGTTGTGGTTGTTAGTGGACGTGGTTATTGGTGGCAGTGGTTGTTGGTTGTTGGCGGTGGTAGTGGGTGTTGGCGTTGTGTGTTGGTATGGTGTGTTGGCGCAGTGTATTAGTGTGGTGTGTTGGTGATGAGTGGTGTGTTGGCGTTGTGTATTGGAGTTGTGTGTTGGTGTGGTGTGTTGGTGTGGTGTGTTGGTGTGGTGTGTTGGCGTAGTGTATTGGTGATGAGTGGTGTGTTGGCGTGGTGTGTTGGCATTGTGTATTGGCGTAGTGTGTTGGTGTGGTGTGTTGGTGTGGTGTGTCGGCGTTGTGTGAGTAGTAGGGTGTGCGACGCACAGGTCATTTTTTTTTTCTGGGAAAAAAAAGTACCTGTGCGCCCCAAGGGTTTCAGGTCTGGGAAAAAAAAAGTACCTGTGCGCCCCAAGGGTTTCAGGTAAATTTAGAATATCCCCTGTGCGCCCCAAGGGTTTCAGGTAAATTTAGAATATCCCCTGTGCGCCCCAAGGGTTTCAGGTCCAAAGTGAAAAAAAGTGCCTGTGCGCCCCAAGGGTTTCAGGTCCAAAGGGAAAAAAGGTACCTGTGCGCCCCAAGGGTTTCAGGTCCAAATTTAGAAAATCCCCTGTGCGCCCCAAGGGTTTCAGGTCCAAAGGGAAAAAAAGTGCCTGTGCGCCCCAAGGGTTTCAGGTCCAAAGGGAAAAAAGGTACCTGTGCGCCCCAAGGGTTTCAGGTAAATTTAGAATATCCCCTGTGCGCCCCAAGGGTTTTCAGGTCCAAAGGGAAAAAATTGCCTGTGCGCCCCAAGGGTTTCAGGTCCAAAGGGAAAAAAGGTACCTGTGCGCCCCAAGGGTTTCAGGTCCAAAGGGAAAAAAGGTACCTGTGCGCCCCAAGGGTTTCAGGTAAATTTAGAATATCCCCTGTGCGCCCCAAGGGTTTCAGGTAAATTTAGAATATCCCCTGTGCGCCCCAAGGGTTTCAGGTCCAAAGGGAAAAAAGTGCCTGTGCGCCCCAAGGGTTTCAGGTCCAAAGGGAAAAAAGGTACCTGTGCGCCCCAAGGGTTTCAGGTCCAAAGGGAAAAAAGGTACCTGTGCGCCCCAAGGGTTTCAGGTAAATTTAGAATATCCCCTGTGCGCCCCAAGGGTTTCAGGTAAATTTAGAAAATCGTGTATAGCGCTTGGGGGTTTTCAGGTAAATTTTGTCAGTCGCAGATTTTAGAAGTAAGGATTTCTTATGAGAAAAATAATTTCCGAGACTTAGAAGTTTGTTAAAGCCTTATGGGAGAAATTCAAATAACGTGTGTAGCACTTTAGGGCTTCCAGGAGAACTCTACGGACATATTTTACATGTTTTCAACTTACAAAATCGTCTATGTAAGCCTTAGTTATTCATATAAATTTAGAAAATCACCTGTGTAAGTCAGGGTTTTCAAGTCTCGTACATCACACCCCCCGCCCGCCCCCCCCCCCCCCCTTGACTCGCAATCTGTCGCATCACCTTTATTTACTTTAGACGTCAGCCAGCCAGCCAGCCAGTCGGCTCTTAATCTTATCTTATCTTATCCGTAATATCTGGACCGTCCCTCCTCTCTCTCTCTCTCTCTCTCCCTCCTCTCTCTCTCTCCTCTTCATATTATTCCCTCTTCCTATTTTCTGACATACTAATATTTTATTCCTTTTTCATTAACCAGTCAGTTTTATACAAATCAACCGAAGCATCTCAATGTAACCTTTAATACTGAAAACTGCCTCAGAGACTATCTAAGCTGGCCCCAGCTACCTGCCCCAGGCTATCTGCCCGAGGCAATCATCACCTGATTACCTGCCCCAGACATCCACCAGTCATTGTCGGCGTTCGCCACCGTAATAATTTATATATATATATACATTAAGCGTTAATAAAACTTATTTATTTATTTACAATTTATTTAGTCATCTAATTCATAGTTTACACAATTTATAATAAAAGAGTTTATCCCCAGTATTCGCCAATCATTCTCGCTATTAATAAAACAGCCAAACGCTCACTCAGGGGCACACTATCGTTATTACGCTCATTCAGGGGCCCCCTCAGATCGCCAAAGTCTCAGAGGCCTACACTTTCAGTCTACAATCAATCTTCATCCTGTTCACAAGGTTCCCCTAGCCTAGTCATATCATCATGTCAGTGTGTCCTCTGTGCCTGTCTCCTATCAACAACGAAATCGTTCATGTGTGTCAAACACGATGTTTAACATGCCTCGGTGAAATGTCCATCAACGCTCTTCAAGAATGCAGACTATACTGTATAGGATGCAATGGGCCTACACCGCCTGGACATTTTGACGTAACCTGTACCAGCTGTGGGCAACTCTATTGTGCAAATCGTAAGTACCTCTTTTTCTCGCACTTTCAATAAACTTTCAAAGAAAATATATATCCGAAACACACATACATACATACAGACAGTCAATTTATATATATTATTTTCATTTCAGTTCATGGTTCTACTTCCTGCCCATACTGTCGTTTCTCCGTTAACCGGGAACCTCCCACCGAAGCCAGAAACGTCATTGAACCTCCACCCAAACGCCGTCGCATCATAAATAACCGTACGTTTTCACAATAATTTTCATAATTTTTAAAGTTAATAATTGTATATTTATCAAGTGTATAAACAAGTAATAAGTACTCATACAGAAAAATATTTCCATTACAGGAGTTCCTATTCGTGATCAAGAGAATCTCATACTTGGTGGAATCAACATCCCAGCTCGTAAGTAATATTATTATTTATCTGTAATTCAGTTTTTCCTCTTATTTAAACTTTTTGTTTTTCCTCTTAATAATAATTCCTCTTATTTACACGATATTTTCCTATTAAGGTTTTCAAATCCTCTTATTGTTTTCAAATGTGTTTTCCTCTTAATGTTTATTCATTGCTAATATTATATTACAGAATCTCCCCCGGATTCAACCCAACCCTCTGAGTGGAGCACACCTGTACGCAGTCAACCCCAGCTGTCCCAGGAGCTAGAAGAAGATGCACCAGACGGCAACCAGCATGCATCCTCAGATGAAGAAGAAGAAGAAGACAATCAACCCCCTGTTCACGACATATCAGATGAAGAAGTCAACGCTCCAGATTCCCCAGAGGTACTTAACTTAGATAACATTGTTCCGCGAGTGTTAGAAGTCATTAACCATTTCGAAGGTTCATTCTCGAGACATTCGTTCTCCATTCCCGGACATTTAGACGCTGACCCCAGCTTATATATAAATAGGTATAGAGAATTTTTTATAGAATATATAGACAATCAGTTCAGACAAATACAGGAAGAATTCCCTCCCTCATTTCACATTTACCCTGATGTAAGCCTAATTTTGCAAAAACTTAATCATGCCGACGATCAATATGAAATATTAGATGAAGTATTTTCAATTAGAGGAGAAACTCAGACTGTTACACAGGAAGAGGTGGAAGTTCTTGTAAATTCATGGGTTGACGAAATGTCTGCTAAAATTGACGAATGCCTAAAAAATGTCCAATCCTCAAGTGTAGGAATTCATTCCATGTCAGGCTTTGCCATTAATTTTTCATATATTCGCCACCCTATGCACCTTGGATCTTACGTACCATATCCTGCGAAATTAAGGGGTAAAGAATCAGTATTTAATCCTGAAAGTGAAGGAGATGAGTGTTTGTTACAGTGCATTGCCGCGTATAAAAACTTAGCATTGGGCAGGACTATGCATAACGTTAGACATCATTACAAAAGCCTTCGATGGTGTAGAAGATTCGTAGTATGGGCAGATGAAATCAGATTCCCCGTATCA